GTACACTCTATATATTCTACACACACACACACACACACACACACACATGTATGTATATATAGACGTTTCTCTCCCTCGCGGAGAGGGAAGTTCTTGGCGAACCCCGTCGGCGAAAAGGGTTTCTAGCTCCTGGTGATTGGTGTAAGTTAGCCCTCTGGGCAGAGAAAACGGTCTCGCGAGCGCATGCGCCAGCCACGGGGATCCCCCTTTGCTTTAGGGTTAGCCGCGGTCCTCCCTGCGGCCAACAGCCCAGGATGACACGCCCCGGGCTACCAGATCAATAAGATCCCTTATACCTACCAACCTACCTACCTCTTTGGTTACGCCCTGAGATATACGCCGGTTTAAATTTGCAATACGTGGAGGCGGCGGCGGTGGCGGCGAGAGTGTTCTACGGAACGTTGCATCCTTTTGTATCGCGCACCACTCGCTCGACGAGGAAACCGTATTTCTACTTAAGGCCGGATTTCCTAGAAACATCGGACGCCCGACGTGTGCGACGGAGATTTTCCGATCGATGGACGAGCCAGCATGTTTTATTTTTAAATGCCAGGCAAAGACCAAATTCCTGAGACGGCGAAAATAGTGCATTCTAGAGAATAAAAGTAACTGATGTTCTTAACAGGCAACGAGTGAGACGAAATTTCACGAATGATCTCGAGGTGTCAGTGGGATATCTCGATGGAGTAGCTTAGTTTGCCTTTTCGAAATAAACGGAAGGGGAAGTGGTTGGTTGGTCTATGGTGCTTCGTGTCGATTGAAACGGAACGCTGCTTCCCTGATATTAATGAGATGGATCTTGGGGGTGGTTGTTGCGTTGGAGAGTACAAGTTGATTTGCTGGGTAAAGAAATCGAAAAGGTATTCGAAAACATTGAATAATTTCTGGGGATGCGATTTGGTCGAATATTGTCGAAAATTTCAGTCAAGAAATGTGCGCTTTACAATCGTGCGATCTGGTTTCTCTTGTAAAAAATTCACAAGCAGCGATCGAGAGGCGAGATAATCGGCATCCCTTTATCACTGGGGAGCAATGGCACGATCTGCTATTAGTTTTGCAGTCATAAAGAATCTGGGCACGTTTAACATGCGTTACGACGATCTATATGCTTCTAAACCAGTTCTTGGCATCGTATGAGTTATAAAGACATTACACTTGTAACGCTGTAATTACAACGGTGGCTATAATATTTCCTCTTCGCGAAACTACTATGATTTTCCACGAGTAAATTTATATTTCCAGATGCTGCTCTCTATTTACACACTACGATCTTTGAATAAGAATGGCGGCGGAATTTTTGAAAATATTCGATATTCTGTTTACTAAGCTCGTAACTTTGTCAGCAAAATCTCGCGATTTCCTACGTATATTTATTGCAAATCTGACATAATAAATATCATGTTATCTTCCTCTATGCCGAAGATTTATTACACAACCATGTAATCTACAAAGCAGTAATCCTTAACTGAAATATAGGCAGAGAACGAAATATAGGTAGATATATCTTCCCCTTAGTCTTCTACCTAACCATTTAAAAATTAGTTAAGCGAAGAAGATGAATGATCATATTTTCCTGGCGTAGGAAATAATTTAAAGAAAAAATATTGTGACGCGAGATATCCGCTTCAAAATATGGAAATATTGTGCGAAATATTTCGTTCACAAACGCGAAGAGGTTAATATGTATATCAACCCCCAAGTATCTAATGAATATCGTTAGATTACAAAAGTTTAAGATATTCAATTCTACTTTTGTATTCTATTATCTACTTTGTATTTTACTCAGTGAAATCACTAACAAAATTGAAATAAAATTTAAAAAATTCCAAAGTTAGATAACTTAAAATTCTAAATCTCTGTTGTAGGTCCTAATCCTCGATCATATCAATTAAGGATTAAGTCTCTTATCATCGTCAATTTTTACACAGAAAATTTATCAATTTTTTTAACATTGTGTCCATACTCGATATTTCTTGCATAAAACCACCTTCTTGCAAAATTCCAGCAATTTCACAAACTGAACTCTCGAAGCAAACAGTGAACTCAAAGAAACGATTCATCCTCAACGAGATGACCTTCAATGCCGTGTGGCGAAGGGTTGAAAGGTAGCGTACGAGACGATACTTAACGAACACGCTAACTATTGGTACTTATTCGTCGCAATATTTACACGCATCGCGTTATGGACTTGTTTCGCGGTGTTCTTCTTATCGCTCCACCTCGGAGCGACTTCGAGTTCTCGCGCGGCGCTCGTAAATCACCGTGAAAGTCGGTGTTACGCTTCTGCGAGGCTCGAACGGCCGCGACATATGCTGAACTGTGAAAGAATATTGGAATAGATAAGATCTTAAACGTAGGTCAATGTTGTTCCGACGTTGTTCTGATTTCTAATTGCATTTTTTTCACTCTTGAATGATTTATGTCATGAACCGTACTGTCCGCTCAGTATCATGAAACGCAAGATAACTCAGGCATTGGCTGAGAATTTTACATTTATTAATCCTCAGATGGCGAACAATGATCGAGTTAGATTTGATTTAATGTAGTAATTAATAGTAATTGATTTGTGTTGGAAAATTGCAAGGGGGTGGTTTTGTGCTCTACTATGCTCCGATATTTTATTACGAATTGTTTCATTATACATGAGCAATTAACATCGATAGAGAATAATAAATATTTCAATCATTATAAGTAATGTGATAAATTACCTACATGCTTCGGTGATAGGGATCCACCGTGTAAATATATTTAAACTTTAGTCTTTTGATTCTTTGTTAGAATATTTTAACTACTTTGAAAAAATTACGACTACTAATTACTAGATTAGTATACGTAAGTATATTGGATTACTAGAGTTTGAATATGTTAAAAGAAATGAGGGTGGATGATGGATAACATAACTATGTAGTTAGGAGAGATAAATGACTTAAATGACTAATAGTAGTCATTACTTACTACGACGACCGAATGAAATGAATGATTTACTGTAAATAGATGACATTCAATTTTTCTTTCTATTTTATTCAATAAGAAACGAGTCATCCATACTTTACTTTCGTAAAATTGTTATAATGGATAACTGGATAAAGTAATTTTCAATTCCAATTAATCAAGCGGTGAATCGAAACTTTACGACGCGTCTGTATAACTTGTAACTGCAATAAAAAAGACGCACACGTAATTTATTCAAACATTTAATAACACTGGAAATTAAGTATCCAGTCTAAAATTATACTCTCCTAAGAAACTTGCTTCCGTGCGCTCGCTACAGAAAAATTACCTTTTCCTCCCCCCTGTTCGTTTTTCTCTTGTTTTGCAATTTGTTTCTAAAGTTCGGAAATTCTCCAAGAAAAAGCTTTCAAGAATTCTGGGATATTATAGCTCATAGGTAAAAGAAGTGTTGTGAATTATGAAACAACTTTCAGATATCGATCAAGCACAGCCTCAGCCATTTTTACTAGACTGTTAGATTTAAAACGGCCAATTTTATGAGAACGCAAAGTTACTCAGAGTATCGTAATGTGCTCTTAAATAATGCATCGTTAGACATCGATTTAAAACTTCAATCAGAGTTTTGTTGATTGTTTGATCATGCAAGAGAACGAATGATCCTCGAATTTCTGATAAAATTTGTAACTTCGACCTAACGAGATAAAGGTTGCTCGTAACACTAATATTTACAGATTTCCGGAAAACTGTATTAAGAGAATGGACAATTTGCTGCTCGCGCGAATAATTTCAATAAAAAAATACAAGCGCAAACAATGATCGATTAAAAACTTTAATCGCAGTAATTATAAAAACACATCGAGACTGAATTGAAATTTAATTGACGATTAAGAGTTACATCAGGTACGAATTTCGCAACAATCTAACATTTGCATTCACGTGTTATGAATGTATCACGCGTGCGGTGCAGAAATAAAATTGCCTTTGAATTGATTACCTCAATTCGTTGAAGTCTCGATAAATAAATCGATCGTTCATAAAAGCATGAAAATTCGCAGCCGCCACGGACAAAGAGGGAGGAATGTAAACCGATTACGAAAGTTACGTGTTTCATCGGTGCTGCGGAGTTTTTTCTTTCTCTCTTTCCTTTTGTTTCGCCCCTTTTTTTCATTTCGAGGAAAAGCGCCGCGTGCGCGCGCGAATATTTTGATCCACATTTGAGACGGCGCGCGAGCAAACACGCTTTTAAAACTCCCAATTAACCGGCTTGCTGCTCCCACCGTTTTAACATCGATTTTTAAATATTTGCCGATATATAACACCCGCCGATGTGCTTTCAAATAAATGTGCTGCAAATATGTTAATAAGACACGCGGACTATAATTCTATTGGGAGCACGAACCCGCGTATTTCCGTGTAACCCGGACTGAAACCAGTTTCGATGTAAACTCGTCGAATACGATTTCGGTAAATAGCCGCGTACGCTGCTGATAGTTCTGCCCCTATGTACACAACTAGCTTCCGGTAAGCACGCCTGATTAAACGAAAATTCCCGATATCAACGTCTATTGTGGATATTAAATTTCTTGCGTGCGATACGCCATACTACTGTCCGTATTTATCGCTATGTTTCTCATCGTCTTCTAATCTCTCCTTGCTATTTAATCGTTAATTGAACGATTGCAAAGGGAGCAAGTCAACGAAAGTAGTTGACTTACTTTCTTTGAACTTGTTGAGAGGAAGTCCTTGAAATGATAGATTGTTCTACTTGGCATAGACTCGGAATGAACACCGTTTCTGAAAGTAGAAGCAAAGAGAACTCTGAATATGGACATCACTGCTGCTTGACACGATTTTGGGGAAAATAATCGCTGATTAATCATAAAATAGATGAAGTTTGTGGGTAATTTA